GCTGAGCGATGGCGGTCGTGAAGCTGGAGCCCAGCATCATCACCTACGGCACGGCGAACAGAGCGCGCGAGAAGAGCAGGCGTTGGCAGTGGCAGCAGGTTGTGGCAGTGAACAGCGCGTGCGTGAACAGGCGTTGGCAGTGGCAGCCAGCAGCGGCGCTGCCTAGCCAGATCTTGGTTGTGACGCTGGAGCCCAACATCATCACCTATGGCATCGTGAACAGCACGTGCGAGAAGAGCAGGCGTTGGCAGTGGCAGCAGGTCGTGGCGCTGCTGAGCGAGATGGCAGTCGTGAAGCTGGAACCCAACATCAGCCGCTACAGCACTGTGTGCAGCGCCTGCGAGAAGGGGCGGTGGCAGCCAGCTCTGGCTCGGCTCAGCGAGATGTTGGGAGTGAAGCTGGAGCCCACCATCATCACCTACGGCACTGTGAACAGCGCCTGCGAGAAGAGGAGGCCTCGGGAGTGGCAGCAGGCCGTGGCGCTGCTGCGCGAAATGCTCGTGTAGAAGCTGGAGCCCGCCGTGGTCAGCCACAGCCCTCGCCGCTGCGCGTGCGAGAAGGCAGGCGTGGGTGGCACTGGCAGCATTTTAGAAGGAGGTGGGGGGGCGGCAGCGGCGGCTGCCGGGGCATGAAGGAAGGATGGGGGGGGGGCGGCAGTGGCAGCGTGGGCCTGGGGGGGGGGGGCAGCGGCGGCGGGAGGAGGGACGTCAGCGACATAGGAGGAGCCGGAGGACCAGGAGGAACGGGGAGGGACGGCAGTGGCGGAGACAGTGACGAGAAAACGGGAGGTGGTAGTGGCGCCGAGGCTGGAAGGCGCACGGCGCGGCCGTGGCAGCCAGCAGCCAGCGCTGGCTTTACTGGGCGAGATGGTGGTCGTGAAGCTGGAGCCCAACATCATCATTTTCGGCGCTGTGAGCAGCGCGTGCGAGAAGAGCAGGCGTCGGCAGTGGCAGCCATCAGTGGCGCTGCTGAGCGAGATCGTGGTCGTGAAGCTGGAGCCCGTTATCGTCACTCACGGCACTGTGGACAGCGCGTGCGAGAAGAACAGGCGTTGGCAGTGGCAGCACGTCGTGGCGCTGCTGAGCGAGATCGCGCTCGTGACGCTGGAACCCAACATCATCACCGACGTCGCTGTGATCACGGCGTGCGAGAAGAGCAGGCTTTGGCAGTGCCAGCAAGCAGTGGCGCTGCCGAGCGAGATGGTGGTAGTTCAGCTGGAGCCGAACACCATGCCTACGGCATCCTGAACAGGTCGTGCGAGAACGGCGGACGTTGGAGGTGGCAGCAGTTTGTGGCGCTGCTGAGCGAGAGATGGTGGTCGTGAGGCTGGAGCCGGTTATCATCGCCTACCGCATTGTGAACAGCGCGTGCGACAGGAGCAGGCGTTGGAAGTGGCACCCGGTCGTGGCGATGCTGAGCGAGACCCTGGTCGCGAAGCTGGAGTCCGCCACGATGCTCTACGGCGCTGCGAACAGCGCGTGCGAGAAGAGCAGGTGTCGGCAGTGGCAGTAAACAGTGGCGCTGCTGAGCGAGATCGTGGTCGTGAAGCTGAAACCCAACATCATCAGCACCTACGACGTCCTGAACGGGTCGTGCGAGAAGAGCGGCCGTTGGCAGCGGCAGCAAACAGTGGCGCTGCTGAGCGAGATCCTGGTCGTGAAGCTGGAGCCCGGCATCATCGCCTACGGCGCTGTGAACAGCGCGTGCGAGAAGAGCAGGCGTTTGCAGTGGCAGCCAGCACCGGCGTTGCTGAGCGAGATCGTGGCCGTGAAGCCCGAGCCCATTGTCATCACCTACGGCATTTGAACAGCGCGCGCAGAAAGAGCAAGCGTTGGCAGTGGCAGCCGGTGGCGGCGGTACTAAGCGAGATGGTGGTAGTGAAGCTGGAGCCGAACACCGTCGCCCACGGCATCCTGAACAGGTCGTGCGAGAACGGCGGACGTTGGAGGTGACAGCAGTTTGCGGCGCTGCTGAGCGAGATTTTGGTCGTGAAGCTGGAGCCCGCTATCATCGTCTATTGCGTCCTGAACAGCGCGTGCGCGAAGGGCGTGCGTTGGAGGCGGCAGTTGCAATGGCGCTGCTGAGCGAGATGGTGGTCATGAAGCCGGAGCCCGCCAAGATCACCTACGGGACTGTGAGCAGCGCGCGCGAGAAGAGCAGGCGTTGGCAATCGCGGCGGGTTGTGGCGCTGCTGAGCAAGATCCCGCTCGTGAAACTGGAGCCCGGTATCATCACCTACGGCACTGCGAGCAGGACGTGCTAGAAGAGCAGGCGTTGGCAGTGGCAGCAAGCAGTAGCGATGCTGAACGAGATCGTGGTCGTGAAGCGGGAGCCCGCTATCATCACCTACGGCATTGTGAACAGCGCGCGCGAGAAGAGCAGGCGCTGGCAGCGGCAGCACGTTGCGGCGCTGCTGAACGAGACGGCAGTCGTAATGCTGGAGCCCGACATCATCATCTCCTACGTCACTGTGAGCAGCGCGTGCGAGAATAACAGGCGTTGGCAGTGGCAGCAGGTTGCGGCGCTGCTGAGCGAGATCCGGGACACGAACTAGGAGCCCAACAACATCACCTACGCCACTGTGAACAGCGCGTGCGAGAAGAGCAGGCGTTGGCTGTGGCAGCAGGCTGTGGCGCCAATGAGCGAGATCTGGGTCGCGAAGCTGGAGCCCAGCATCCTCGCTCACGGCGCCCTGAACAGCGAGCGCGAGAAGAGCAGGCGTCGGCAGCGGCGGCAGGTCGTGTCGCTGCTGAGCCAGATGGTGTTCGTGAAGCTGGAGCCCAACACCATCACCTACGGCATCCTGAGCAGGTCGTGCGAGGAGAGCAGGCGTTGCCAGCGGCAGCAGTTGGTGGGCAGTGGCGCTGCCGTGCGAGACGGTGGTCGCGAAACTGGAGCCCGCCAACATCACCTGCGTCACTGTGAACAACGCGTGCGAGAAGAGCAGGCGTCGGTTGTGGCAGCAACCCGTGGCGCTGCTGTGCGAGACGGCGCTGTGAAGTTGGAGCCCAACATCGTCACCTAGGGCGCTGTGGACAGCGAGTGCGAGAAGAGCAGGCGTTGGCAGCGGCGGCAAGTCGTTGCGCTGCTGAGCCAGATGGTGTTCGTGGAGCTGGAGCCCAACATCATCACCTACAGCATCCTGTACAGGTCGTGCAAGGAGAGCAGGCGTTGCCAGTGGCAGCAGTTGGTGGCGCCGCTGAGCGAGATGGTGGTCGTTCAGCTGGATCCCAGTACCATCGCCCACGGCCCCCTGAACAGCGAGGGCGAGAAGAGCAGGCGTTGCCAGAGGCAGCAGGCAATGGCGCTGATGAGCGCGATGGCAGACGTGAAGCTGGAGCCCAACATCATCACCTACGACGCCCTGATCAGCGCGCGCGAGAAGAACAGGCGTTGGCCGTGGCAGCAGGCCGTGGCGCTGCTGAGCGAGACGGCAGACGTGAAGCTGGGGCCCAACACCATCACGTACGGCACCCTGAACATCGCGTGCGAGAAGAGCATGCGTTCGCAGTGGCAGCTGTCCTCGAGGGCAGCGGCAGGGAGCGCAGTGGCCGCAGCAGTGGCGCGGTGGGAAGAGATGGAGAGCACGACGGCGGCAGTGGCAGCACGATGGAAGGAGAAGGGGGCGGCAGTGGCAGTATCGGGGGAGAAGAGGGAGGGCCAGGCGGCGTGGACCTGGCGGCCCCTCCGACGACGACTTGCAAGGGTGCGTGGTCCGCCCGTGGAAACAAACAAAAAAATCGCTGCGCCCCCTCCCATGGCGACAGCGCCCGGCACTGCGCGGCTCCGGCCCGGTGCCGGGCGCCTGCTCCTTGCCGCCTTGGCGGCCCCGCTGTTCTTGGCGCTGCGCGGCCCAGGCCTGGCCTTCGACACTGCGGATCGGCAGCGCAGCGCGCTTGCCGGCGCAGGGCGGACTTTCTCCCTGCAACGCACCGGCATCTTGTCGGTCATCGACGGCAAGTTCACGGTTCGCCCAGCTGCCGTGCCTCAGGCTGCGGTCCCCCATGTCTGTGGAGCGGACTACCACGACTGGCACTCCTGGCATCACTCTGGCGGCGCAACGTGGCTCTCCTACTTCTTGGTGTTCTTCTTCCTCTCGCGCGTCGACCTGGTCAAGTGGCGCGCCCCCCCCGCGGTGCGTGAGGCTGGTGTTCGCGAAGCGCCGCTGACGGCTACGCCACCTGCCCCTTTTTCTTCCCGGGACTTCACCACCAGGCTCCTGTCCAAGGTGTACCTTTTCCTGCTCGTCCCGTTCGGCGCCGCCTGATCCCCCGGCTACGCCCGCTCCTGGCCGCGTGAGGCCCCGCCTGCTCTCGCCCTCTCTCTGTGAATTAAAGCCGCGCGCGTCCCGCGGAGCTTTTAGCGGAAAAGGCTTGCTCTCGCCCTGCATATCAAAAAAAATCTACAACGCCCACAGAAAGAGGAGGAGGATGGGGAGGGGGGTGATCAAGAGGAGGAGGAAGAGGATGATGAGGAGGAGGAGGAGGACGAGGATGGACGGCGGGGGGGGGGAGACAAAGTAAACGAGGTTTAGAAGGTAGATGGTGGACACGGCAGGTGGATGGAAGGGAATATTGAGCAGGACGGGGAGGGGGGCGAGGTGGGACGGGGGATGGGGGGGGTGGAACGGAAGGACGGTGAGGAGAGGAGAGGGGGAGAGAGGGAGAGGATGGGGAGGTGAGGAGAGGAGAGGGCGGGGCACGGAATAGAACGGAAGGGCAGGGGAGGTGAGAGGGAGAGGGTGAGGAAACGGGAGGTGTGGGAGGTCGATGAAAAAGGGTGGGGGTGCGCGTACGGGGATGAGATAACGGCGCGACCAGTGTGAAACCATGGTCCTGAACGCGAGAATGGCGACGAGCCACGCTGGGGCACGCAAAAGGTCAAAGTTGGGATTCGGCCGTTCCAGTTACGAGTTTTTCGAGAGGAAGCCCCTCGCGGGAACCAGCAATGAATATTCGGAGTGCAGGGACGCCAGCGAGGAGGTCAAAGCAGGAACTCAGGTACTTGGAATACGAGTTCTTCGCGACCTCCGCGCACGCGATCTCTACGTCCCTGCCTTCGCGAATGGAGTTTCGTCCAATGGTGGCTGTGCCCCTAGCGCTTGTCAGGAGGGATGAAGGGAGGATCTGAGAGGGCAGAGTAGGGGAGAGGGAATGGGGGAGAGGGGGCGAGGATTGAAGACGAGCATGAAGAAGGGGATGATGATGATGATGATGACGATGATGATGATGATGACGATGATGATGACGATGATGATGATGCTGATGATGACGATGATGATGCTGATGTTGATGCTGATGCTGATGGTGATGCTGATGATGCTGATGATGCTGGTCATGCTGATGGTGCCGATGATGGTACTGATTACGAGGATGATGATGATTATGATGATAATGCTGATGCTGATGGTGATGGTGATGGTGAGGGTGAGGGTGACGACCATGATGATGATGCTGCTGGCAATAATGCGTATGATCATGCTAATGATTATGCTGCTGATGACGATGGTGATGATGATGACGAAGACGATGTTGGTGATGCTGATGATGACACTGAGCAGGGTGATGATGATGATGATGATGATGATGATGATGATGATGCGGATGATGATGCGGATGATGGTGGTGGTGCTGGCGGTGATGCTTGAGGGTGACGTCGATGATGATGGTGATGATTACGACGACAACCATGATGATGATGATGCTGACGACGCTGATCATGATGATGATAAGAACGATGATGATGATGATGGTGATGTTGTTGATGGTGATGAGGAGACACTGGAGGATGCAGCCGACGTGTATGCTTATGAAGACGATGCTGATGATGATGACGATGACGATGACGATGATGATGACGATGACGATGATGCCCATGATGACGATGCTGCCGATGATGACGACGATGGTGATGATGAGGATGAGGATGCTGATGCTGATGATGTTGATGATGCTGATGCTGATGCTGATGATGATGGTGGTGATGATGATGATGACGACGACGACGACTACTAGAATGCTGATAGTTGTGATGATGACGGCGATTCTGATAATGATGGGGATGATGACGCTGCTGTTGATGACGATGACGATGCTGATGATAATGATGCTGCTTGAGATGCTGCTGATGAGGATGACGATACTGATGAACATGTCGTTGATGATGATGATGATGATGATGATGATGATGATGATGATGATGATGATGATGATGATGATGATATCGATGATCATGATGATGATACAGAATACGAGGATGCTGATTCTGATGATGATGATGGTGGTGATGCTGATGTTGATGACGATGATGACGATGATGTGGCTGATGCTGATGCTGATGCTGATGATAAATGATGTATGATGATGATGAGCCTGATGCTGACGCTGATGCTGCTTATGGTGATGATTCTGATGCTGATAGATGGTGATGATGGTGATGCTGCTGATGATGATGATAATGGTGATGCTGCTAATGATGTTGATGACGATTACGATGATGATTATGATGATGACGATGCTGATGACGATGATGACGATGCTGATGATGGTGATGATGCTGCTGATGATGCGGATGATGATGACGATGATGATGATGATGATGATGATGATGATGGTGATGATGAGGATGAGGATGAGGCTGAGGATGAGGATGATGATTCTGATGAGGATTATGATGATGATGATGATGATGATGATGATGATGATGATGATGATGATGATGATGATGCTCATGATGATGATGATGATGATGATGATGATGATGATGATGATGCTGATGATGATGAGGAAGAGGAGGAGGAGGCTGATGATGATGATGATGATGATGATGATGATGATGATGATGATGATGATGATGATGATGATGATGGCGATGGCGATGGCGATGGCGATGGATGGGATGGTGGTGGATAAGGGGGTGGTGGTGGTGGTGGGTGGTGGTGGTGTGGTGGTGGTGGTGGTGAGGAGGAGGAGGAGGAGGAGGAGGAGGAGGAGGAGGAGGGGGAACAGCAGCGGTGGGCGCGCCAGCTGCTCAGGGGGACGTTGCCTGCGCTGCCAGGAACATCGCGGCCGAAGGGGGGAGGAGGAGGAGGAATAGGAGGAGGAGGAGGGAGGAGGAGGAGGAGGAGGAGGAGGAGGAGGAGGAGAGGAGGAGGAGGAGAGAGGAGGAGGAGGTGGAGGAGGAGGAGGAGGAGGGAGGGAGGGAGGGAGGGAGGGAGGGAGGGTGGGTGGGTGGGGAGGGAGGAGGGAGGGAGGGAGGGAGGGGGAGGGGGCAAGCTATGTGCGCTCGCGTCATATCTGACGTCCTACCCCTCCCTCCCATCCCTTACCATGGCGCTGATTTTCTCTATCCGCGGACGCGTGTCGTAGCGGACCTGTGGCTCCGCGCGCGCGTGCGTAGTGGGTGGTGGTGCACGTGCGTGCGTGCGTGCGTGTGTGCGTGGTTGTGGGTGTGGTGGTGGTGGTGGTGGTGGTGGTGGTGGTGGTGGTGGTGGTGGTGGTGGTGGTGGTGGTGGTGGTGTGTGTGTGTGTGCGTGTGTGTGTGTGTGTGTGTGTGTGTGTGTGTGTGTGTGTGTGTGTGTGTGTGTGTGTGTGTGTGTGTGTGTGTGTGTGTGTGTGTGTGTGTGTGTGTGTGTGTGTGTGTGTGTGTGTGTGTGTGTGTGTGTGTGTGTGTGTGTGTGTGTGCGTGCGTGCGTGCGTGCGTGCGTGCGTGCGTGTGTGTCTGTGCGCGCGCGTGTGATGTGGTGTGACGCGGTGTAGCGTGGTGGTGGTGGGTGGGGTAGTGGGGTGGTGGTGGCGGTGCGCGTGCGTGCGTGCGTGCGTGCGTGTTGGTGGGTGGAAGTGGCGGTGGGCGGGGCGGGGCGCGGTGCGGTGGTGGCGGGCGGATGGGCGCGCGAGAAAGAGGCCCGCGCTGGGGCGAGAACGCCATCCTGAACGACGGAGGCAAAACACCGATCCGAAAACGAGACCCACGCTGCAGCGGGAGCACGATTCGGAACGAGCGGCGCCCGAAAATGAGGCCGGCGCCTCAGCGAGAGCAGCATTTTTGAAACAAATGCAGACGAAAACCCAACTCCAGGGAAACCTGTGTGTTCAAAAACAGTACGCGGGGGGGGGGCGGCTACTCCCAAGACGTCATCAGGGGAAGAGGGAGAGTAGTATTCATATTGAGTAATTGTGGAGGGGTGGAGGGGGGGAGGGGGGAGGGAGGGAGGGAGGGAGGGAGTGAGGGAGGAGGAGGAGGGAGAGGGGCATTCCAGTGATTTTGCCATCGCGTAGTGAGAAAGCTTTGCTTAAAGCCCGGCGCTTCGGATGGGAGCAGGAGGACGATTTGGAGGACTAGGATGCGGATGAGGTCCAAGGACGACGCGAGCCTCAGGCGACGCGCCTTTTCGGGCCACTGGCTGCTCCCTCGCGTCTGCTTGGTTGCTGCCGGCTGCACTTTTCGGACGCGCTCGCCTTCTCGACCAGCCGACGTGTCGAGCGGTTCCGCGTCATGCTCGGAGGGCACCAACTATACACCAACACCGATCCTGGCCCAGGATCACCCTGGGCCCAGGATCGGTGTATATGCCTTCTTGCGCAAGGCAGGCGGGCGTATACACCGATCCTGGGCCCAGGGTGATCCTGGCCAGGATCGGTGTTGGTGTATAGTTGGTGTCTTCCTATCATGCTGCTGCTGCTTCTGATCCTCGTCGTGGTGCAGTTTTCTGCCCGGCTCTTCGGCTCCCGGCGTGCTGCTTCTGCGGCGGCGCACCCCTCGGCAGGACCCCATCGGCTCCTTCTCTCTCTCTCTCTATTCCCTCCCATCGTCTCCCTCTCCTCTTCTGATCTCCCCTCTGCGTGCTGCCGTTCTCCCCCCCTCTCCATCTGATCTCCCCCTATTGCGCCCTCCTTTGTACAGTCGGGGCCCTGAACAAGGAACCCCTTTCGTTGGGAAGGGGCTCCGCGTTCCTTGATTGTTTCACAGCTTGCCTCAGGCTTTCCTTATGTTTTCGACAGGAAATCGAAGGTTAACTTGTGGAAAAAAGGGGCCTCGTTCCTTATTGAGGGTTCCTTAGGTCAGCGCCCCGACGGTATCCCCGCCGTCCGAGGTGGAGATGACCCCAGAGCACCTGGAGGCGCAGGCAGGCCGCCGACTTGGCCTCCTCGCTCCCTCCTGTTTCCCCGCCGCCCCTGTCGGAGTGCCAGGCATGCTTTCCACCCCGCCCACCCTGCAGGGCTCGTTTCGATTCCTCCGATTCGATTCGTTTCGACTTCGATGGCTTCCGATTCCGATTCGATTCGACTTGGGATTCCGATTTGGGTTCCGATTTCTTATTGGAGGCATACTAGCCTGCCAATTTCAGCCGATTCGACTTTTCCCGATTCGGCTGCCGATTTCCGCCGATCCGATTCATTTCGACTGCCGATCCGACTTGTCGATCCGATTCTGGGCTCTCCTGCCCTTTAAACAGTAGTTACCGTACATGTGTAGAAGTGCGAAGCACACGGTACACAGTCAGGATTAGCCGTGAGAGTTAAACGTTGCAATTTAGTTGTAATTGCGAAGTGTGACATTCAACTGTGCATAATAGTTGAATGTACTTATTGATCGAGAATTTAACTGTACATTGCACGCTGTATCTGTTCTTTGATGTCTTTGGCGGCCAACCATGCGTCTGGCATTACTGGTGGTTCGACCGTTTGCGCCAGGGCGTGGGGCTCCACAACATATTGCTTGCACCACAGAGTTGACCGAAAATGCGAGATTGGCATAGTGATTTACAATTCAAGCCATACTTCCAACTGTAACAGGTAGCTGCACATGTAGTTATTGATTTAAACATTTACCCGCAACCACAAATAATGAAGCATGGTTGCACGCATGCTTTGCAAGCATTCGTATACACAATAATGACGGTAACTAGCATTAAACAGTAATTTTATTGTGCGCAGTAAATCTGCGGACCGTCCAGATTTGTACGTTTTGCTCGATCTGCATTCAGGTGCCCCCGTAATGGTAGAGGGGTCGTGTGCTAACGGGACCCCCCTCTGCCCCCCTTCAAGGGGCGGTGTTTTCGGACCCCTCCCCCCTTTCAAAGGGGCAGTTGGGGGTTTTTGGTCGAGGGGGTCGGACCCCCCCTAACCCCTTGTGCCGGACAGGGCGGCGGGGGGAGTTTGTCCCGCTTCCCTGTGATGCGCTGGGGATAGAGGGGGTCAGGGTTAGGGTTAAGGGATTAGGTTGAGGATGGTAGGGTCAGGGTGAGGGTGTTCAGGTTCGGGTTACAGTTCGGGGATTCGGGTTAGGATAAGGGTTTGGGTTAGGGGTAAGATGTTCTGGTTATGGTCAGGGGGTTAGGGTTAGGGGGTTGGGGGGTAGGGTTAGGGTCAAGTTAGCCAGCTCGAACGAACCAGAGGGCCCCGTCCACTCCCACTCGCCCTCCCACAGCATAAGAAGTCAGTGCGTCGCGTCCGACGCCTGTCGCTCATCTTATATCGTGTTCGGCTCGACGTTCAGCGCGCGACATGAGCTGCGCGTTGAGCAAAGTGGACGAGAAACAAGACCGCGCGCGATGTACGCCGCGCCCCGCTCCGGCCTCTTATGTTGCATCGTCGGCGACAAACTTGTCCAGCGCGCGAAGCGCGCCGCGTCTCATTCCAGCCACGCGTGTTGCACCGCCAATCGTTTTGCTCCTGCAGCGCATGGAGGAGGGGGAGGAGGTGGAGGAGGAGGAGGAGGAAGGGAGGGAGAGGGAGGGAGGGAGAAATTGAGGAGGAAGAGGAGAATGCCTCTTGGGAATCCGCGGGGAGTCCTGGGAGTTTTCTGGTATGCGCCTGAGGGCCTCTTAGATGTATCTTCCGGGTGGGGAAACTGTCAACACCAGTAGGTGCTAACCTCACAATCTTTCAAACACCAAATGAGCATCAATATTTGTGTTGCCCCCGCAGGACCTCCTGGACGCCGTTTTTCGATCTCTTGGGGGTCTCCTGAGGCACTTGCTTGAACCGCACTTGCTTGAGGCATTCTGACTTGCCGCCCGCCCAGCTCCTAAATCCGACGGGCCGCAGCGTCGACGATAAGACAGTCCATGTTGACGAGCAGGCGTCCCCGCGCGATGTGCGCCTCGTCCCATTCCCGCTGCGTTTTTGTGTTTTGTGTGTGTGTGTTTTTTTTTTTTTTTTTTTTTTTTTTTTTTTTTTTTTTTTTTTTTTTTTTTTTTTTTTTTTTTTTTTTATTATATATATATATATATATAAAAAAAATTTTCTTTGTTTATATTTATATATAAATAATGCGCCGACGAGGATAAAGTACATGTTGGCAAAGAAAACCTCGACATTACTGTTTTTTGTCAGGTAGGACGGGGGGTCCCGCGCAGGGTTGGCCAGGCGTCCGCGCGCGATGTGCGCCGCGTCCTATTCCTTCTACACTTTTCGCAGCGTCGACGACGAGGAAGTCCATGTTGTCTAGAGAAGCGATGACTTTGCATTGTTTTTGGATGGGTAGGGCGCGACCACCCGCTCAGGTTCACCCAATCGATGTCCATTCCGTCTTTTTCCTGCTGCACTCTTCGCAACTCGACGACATGCTGGCGAGGAAGAATTGAGTTTGAGTTGTTTGTTTACAGTTAGGGCGGCGGGTTTGCTATCGGCTGGCTAGGTGGGGGTTTGGGGGTGTTTGATCATAAGAACGAATGATTCGGGCCAGGGGTTTTGGTTAGGGTGTTCGGGTCAGGGTTAGTGGGTTAGGGTTAAAGTTATGGGGGCTCGGATTCGGATGTTCGGGTTCGGGTTCGGGTTCGGGGGTTAGGGTTTGGGTGGTAAGGTTCCAGTCAGGGTGAGAGGGATCGTGTCAAGGGGGTAAAACGTTAGGGTGGTAGGGTTCTGCTTAGGTGTTAGGATTAGGGTTAGGGGTCAAGGGTTAGGATTGGGGTGGTAGGCTTTGGGGGGTTAGGGTTCGGGTTCGAGTTCGGGTGTAAGGGCTTGGGTTCGGATATTCGGGTTGGGGTAAGGGGCGACGGATTCGGGGTGGTAGGGTTGGGGTCGGTTTAGCGGTTTTAGGGTTAGGGTGGTAGCGTTAGGGTAAAGGTGTTAGTGTTAGTGTCATGGGGTTTCGGGTTCGGGTGGTCGATTCTATAGGGTTACGCCACATCCGCCGACCCCTCTATATAACTACTGCGCGTCCAGGACTGCATGTCACGAGGCTTGTCCGATTCCTGGGAGGTTCCTGGGGGCGTTTGGGGGCCCTGTGCGGGTTCCTTGGGAGCTTCTTGGGGAGTGTTGGGGGCTTCTTGAGGCAACCTGGGGGCGTCCTGGGACCGAAGGCTGGAAATGTGGGTTCGGGTTCCCCCCTGTGTGCTCCCTTTTGGCGCCGTCCGGGGGGGCCCTCTGGGGCCGTCATCGGGGCTTCTTTGGCGGTCTTGCGACCCTTGTGGGCCGTCTTGGAGCTGTCATAGGGGGGTCTTTTGGGCCGTCTTGCACGGTATGAAAGCGCAAGGGGCGAATATGTTTAAAACATACGTTTTCCTCGGTGCCTTCTGGAAGCCTCTTGGGGCGTTTTGGAGGCATCTTGGACCGTCTGGATGCCATGATGGGCGTCTTGGACCGACCATTCGACAATTCGGGGCCCTCTTGGATCGTCCTGGGGCCCACTTGGGGCACTCTTGGCCCGTTTGGGGGCTCTCTATGCTCCCATGACGCGGGTTCACTTGAAAAACGCGTGTTTTTTTCACGCAAGCGGGTCTCTCAGAGACTGGCCCTCGCCGCAGGAAGGGCCGGCCCCGCCGGCCATGGACGAGGTCTGAGCAACAGACTTCCCCAACAGTTGCACTGGCATTCGCAATGCATTCGAGCCGACGTGGGCGAACAGTTTGGCTAACATTCTGCGCCGCTTGGATGGCGCCTGGGCGGCGGTCGTTCCGAGTTCGAACTACCTTGCGACTCTCCGAGCCCTCACGTACAGCCGGACCAAGGTATAAGATCGAGGTCGGTTCGGGGAGGGTGCCCTAGTGTTCTTCGTGTTTGTTGGATGCTCTTGTGCATCCTGGGGAGGGTACCCTTGGATGTTCTGTGTGGTTGGGCTGGCGGAGGGTCTCAAGTTCTTGAGGGATGTTCTTCTGTCCTCGGTCCGACCGTAGTATGATAGTGAGTGGGTGTTGGATGGGTCTCCGATTCTTCATGCGTGGTACACATTAGTACACATTCACACACCGGGTGCGTCCCGATGGTGTTCTCAAACGGCCCCAAAGGCCCTCGAAGTGCAACGAAACCTTCGTCGCCGAGAACACCCGCGCGTCTCGCGCGGTCTCGCAGTGAAGCGAAACCTTCGGCGCCAAGCGCACGCGCGCATCGCGCGGTCTCAGAGTGCTCTGAAACCTTCCGCGCCGAGCGCGTCCGCGCGATGCATTCTGTCTCCAAGGGCCACGAGACCTTCGGTGCCGAGCGCCTCGCGCGGACTCGCGCGGTCTCGCGGGGTCTCGCGGCGACGCGAAACTCCCGGCACCGAGCGCACCCGCGCACTTCGCGCGGCCCCAGAGCGCTTCGAAAGCTTGCGCTTCTCGCATCCGCGCGTTTCATTTAAGTCCCAAAGTGCAGCGAAACCTTCGATGCCGAGCACATCCGCGCATCTCGCGCGGTCTCGCAGCGCCGCGGAATCCTCGGCGCCGAGCGCATCCGCGCGCTTCGCGCCGTCGCGGACTCCGAGCCCTCCCTCGGGTTGCAAGGCTCGTTCCATCAATGGCGTAACGGGGGCGATGACTTCCCCGGCCTGGGAATGGATGCCAGCCGCGCTCGGGGCGGTAGCGCGCCGTGGATGGGGCTTGGGAAGGTCTGCGATTGGCCGTGCGAGTTCCCCGCCAGGACACGCAGAACCAAGAACGCGTTGGAAACTTACGCGGCTCGGCGGCCAGTGCGGCGGCGAGAGCACCACTGCGACGAGTGAGCGCACGATCACGCAAGCACGCAATCGGCAATCATGCGAATGCAGAACTTGGGACGCCGAGGGGGCACATCACCACTGGACCCGGAGGACGAGGCCGCAGAGAGCGCGGCAGCGACGCGGGCGCGGGACGCATTCCCAATCAGTCGTTCCTGGACCGCAAGCCCGAGAAATGCCCGTCGACGTGGCGTTGGGGCGCCGATGAGCACAGAGCCACTCGCACCCGATGAAGACGCTAAGAACGCGGACCCGATGCGAGCGTGGATTCCGTTGCCGCGCAATTTTTCTCGGACTGTAGGAGGGCGTGACCTTCTTGACAATGTCGCGGACTTGGACTCTTGGGCCGTGGAGCGGGCCTGCGCACGGGGCCTTGCCTTCCTTGGGCTGATAGTCTTGGATGTGGTTGCTGCCTTCCCAGGCGCGCTGCATCCTTGGACCCCCCCGGTCCTCGAAGGTCTAGGCGTCCTGAGTCGCATCGTTCGGGCTGTGCGGCTTCTTATTGGACATTATTCCTGTTGAAGTTATACCCGAGGGCTCGAGATACCCCGGCTCCCACACTCCGGAGGCATGAGGCAAAGCTGCCCCACTGTCAGCCATCGATTTCGCATATATTTTGACCCTGCGGTGCGAGGTCCCCAGCGTGCTTTGGCCCCGCGCCCAGCCTTCCAATTTGCATGTGCTGGCGGCGTCGGCGTCGCTTCTGGTGCCCTTCGTCTTTCGCCCCCAGTCTGTGCGCGACGGGCGGAGAGGAATGGCCAGACCACTGGCTGCATCTTCAACTCCAGGAGTGCTGGATCGCAACGGCGAACGAGATGGGCACGAAAACAGTCAGCGAAGTACTGCGACAGGCTTGCATTTCCACTGGTGAGTTCAATGTTGGGGCCGACGCTAAGTATATTGGAATTGTTCTTGGCCCCTGAGGGCGCGTGACTTCGGGGGCTGGACCTGTTGCTTCTCTGCTGATGAGAGCGGGCCGCAACGGGGCCTCGAGCTCTCCGTGGCCCTGCACACCCGAGCATGTAAGTGAATGCGTGGGCGAAACCCGTGCTGTCTCACGTCTCGCCGTTCTATATTGTTCACGAGAGAGTGGCGGACATTGACGCGTCGGCCTCGCAGAGGCTCATGGCTGTGCCGAAATATGCGGCGCCGACTGATGTCATTCGCTGACTGGATGCCGTTGGCTTTGAAGCAGCACCCAGAGATAGCTCGCTTCAAACTATGGCGGCCATCAACCGAGGTGCCGTGCGAATTCCTGTCTTTCCCGAGATCGTCGCCTTCTAAACTTTCATTTGCTCGTAGCCTCGCGGCTATGTGAATGGTCGGACAACTCAATTATCGAGGCTCGGCTTTGTGTGCCGTGATCCCACGAAGCCGTGCCCAGAGCTCGCCGATCCCGATGCCGCGGACATTCAGAGGAAACTGCATCGAGCTCTGAAGGCAGCCCATCCTGGCCCCCCCACTCGCTCTACTTACTCTCGCGAGGGTCAGGTATTTCTGGCCTGGTGCTCCGAATGGGGTGGCCGACAAATGTCATCGACACATGTGGGGTATCTGCCGGGTGCCGGCTGGGGACCCCTACCCATCCAGCGCCGGATAGGTATGTCTCCGGATGGGCATCTGAGAGCCCCCCCCCCGAGGGCTGCCGCCGGATGGGTATCTGCCGGGTGCCAGCTGGGGACCCCTACCCATCCAGCGCCGGATGGGTATGTCGCCGGATGGGTATCTGAGCGCCCCCCCCCCTTTTCAGGGCTGCCGCCGGATGGGTATCTGCCGGGTGCCGGCTGGGTACCCCTACCCATCCAGCAGCCGCCGGATGGGTACCTGCCAGGAGCCCGCTGGGTAGCTCTACCCATCCAGCGGCCGCCGGATGTGTAATTGCCGGGTGCTGGTTGGGTATCCCTACCCATCCAGCGCTGGATGGGCATCTGAGCGCTCCCCCCCTCAGGGCTGCCGCCGGATGGGTATCTTCCAGGTGCCGGCTGGGTACCCCTACCCATCCAGCGCCGGATAGGTATGTCGCCGGATGGGCATCTGAGAGCCCCCCCCCCCCGAGGGCTGCCGCCGGATGGGTATCTGCCGGGTGCCAGCTGGGTACCTTTACCCATCCAGCGCCGGATGGGTATGTCGCCGGATGGGCATCTGAGCGCCCTCCCCCCTTAGGGCTGCCGCTGGACGGGCATTTGCCGGGTGCTGGCTGGGGACCCCGACCCCTACCCATCGAGCGCCGGATGGGTATCCCGCCGGCTTGGTACCCATCCCCCGCCCCCCCCCTACCAGGCCATCGCCTGGCGTACACTCTGGGCGCTGTAATAGCTTTCTTTAGGGTTGGCGACCCCTGAAGAGGTGCGAAGGCTGGCGCGTGGGGTGAAGTTGCTCCGGTGCTTGTCGCGGGGGGGGGGGTCGTTGCTTTCGTTCCTTTCGCTTTTCTTTTGAGCTTCCATGCGCCTGCCGCCGCGCGCGTCTGTTTCACGACAATTGTGAAGGTAGGATGCAGCAGGCCTCTTAGCTCTCTCTTTGGCGCGCGTATCTCATGATCCTGTCTCATATCTACTCAACGGAACAATGCATCGATGTCGGGTTTGCACATCTACAATATCCATATATAGGGATCCCCATGGTTGGGACATCGGAGCAATGGAGACGCTCACTCGCCAGGGGGTGTCGGCTGTCCGACGGGTGGCACGTGGGAAGGGCAGAGTCTGGGGAGCTCCAGGGCTGGGGCGTGAAGGGCGGGCTAGGGGAACGACGATCAGGAGGGGACAACACACACAGACACAATTCATCGTCGATTCCCCAGAAAAGATTGGAAAATGTGGACAGTGGGGGGGACGACAGAAACCCAGAAAATATAGGAGAATATGAGGAATAGTTTCATTTGTGTGTCTTTGTTTGTGTGTCCCAGGGCCCCTTCACAGGGGAACGACGAGCACGGTGGGGCCGGGGCGGGGCCAGCATGGGGCGCCCCGGCCGGGCAGGTGGAGCTGGAGCTCCAGGAGGACGAGCAGCGGGAGGGCGCCGGGCGCGGCGTCGGCGGCAGCGGCGCGGAGGCCCAGGCCGGGCGGGGCGGCCAGGCTGCGTTCGGGGCTCGAGAGATGGGGGTCAGTGCAAACGGGGGTCAGCCGGGGCACCGGATCCTGCAGGATCCTGCGAAGACCCCCTCTGGCTGACCCAGGTCAGCGAGCCGCTCGTGGCCGCGAGGCGGCCGCGCGTATTGGCTGACCCGGGTTTGCGAAGACCTGCGTGGCAGTTTTTTCTTCCTGCATGGCAGTGTTTTGGTTTCCTGCCGACCCGGGTCAGCGTGGGAGGGAGGAGGGAGGGAGGAGGAGGGAGGAGGGAGGAGGGAGGAGGGAGGAGGAGGAGGAAGGAGGGAGGAGGGAGGAGGGAGGAGGGAGGAGGGAGGAGGGAGGAGGAGGAGGGAGGAGAGAGGGATTGACCCGGGTCAGAAGATCCCCGAAGCGTGAGGCCCCTACTCTACAGCGGCCGCTGTTGGTCTGGGACAGCATTTGTTGTTGGGCACTGTACCCATTCTTTCCGTACCCAATTCGGGCGTCCAAACCTACGGTCCCCCTCCGCCTTCCACGTCTCTCGCCATTCCCTCCCTCGTCCTCGTCCTTCCCGAAGGAGCGTTCGGATCCGATCCTCCTGCTGTTCTTGGGCGATCGTCCGATCAGACGTTCCGGTCTGATCCCTTTTTCTGCCCGTTTTCCGCTTGCCCATTTCTCTTTCTCCATTCCCTGTTTCTCCACCCGTCTCTCTCGGGGGGGAGGGGGGGAAGGTGAATGGACCAGGGTCGACCAAGATGTTGATGCGGACTGGGGGGAGCGAGGAGGAAGAGAGAGGAGAGCTCGAGAAGGAGGAGGAGGACGAAGAGGAGGAGGAGGAGGAAAAGGCAGAGGAAAGTGGAGGAGGAGGAAGAGGAGGAGGGAAAGGGGAGGAGGAACGGGGAGGAGTGCACGGGGGAAGCGGGGGATATGGAGATAGAGATAGAGGTAGATGTGGAGACGGATGTGGATGGTTGGGGGTGCCTTGCATATCACCGCCGCCAGCCATTGATAACCTCTGGAGCCCATCGAGTGCTAAATGTGAGTGGGGGTCCACAAACACGAGAATCACTGATGAGATATCGCTGTGCAATTCCAGGCATTATGGCGGACGTCATTCGACCCAGTCTTGTCAGGCAGACGCTGGCGAGTCCTTCTCTGCGCGCCCTCCTCTCTCTCTCTCGCTCTCTCTCTCTCTCTTTCTGTTCTACTGGTGCTGTTTGGAATATATATATATATATATATATATGTAATTACGTAAACACACATTTATGTATATGTCTCCTATCCGCTTCATACATGCACAACGCCTGTAAAGGTAACCTCCCCGACACAGCATCCCCGCCTCGCGCAAACGGGTGAAGTGGCGGACGATGTGAGCTTGATGCTGACTTGGAGCGCAGGTGGCAGACTTCTCTGCGAGGCTCATCGACAAAAAGGCACCCTGCGTTTTCGCCGCCTTGTCTGGTTGTCAGGTGGCTTCATACAGTCGGGGCCCTGAAGAAGGAACCCTTTTCGTTGGGGAGGGGCTCCGCGTTCCTCAAGTGTTTCACAGCTTGCCTCGGGCTTTCCTTATGTTTTCGACAGGAAATCGAAGGTCAACCTATGGGAAAAAGAGGCCTCGTTCCTTATTTAGGGTTCCTTAGGTCAACGCCCCGACTGTAGCGACGGAGTGGTTGCATGACGTTGTAGCGCAGGGACTGGGGAAGGACGCGCGGAGGCACCTCGTGGGTTGAGGAGGAGGAGGAGGAGGAGGAGGAGGAGGAGGAGGAGGAGGAGGAGGAGGAGGGGGAGGGGGAGGGGGAGGGGGAGGAGGAGGAGGAGGAAGAGGAGGAGGAGGCGGAGGAGGAGGAGAAGGAGCAGGGTTGTCCCAGGCAACAAACTTGTGGCGATACCAAGGTCCGCTTGAATGTGCTCCACAGAAGGTCCTTGACTTCGCTCCTCCTCGTGACATCCCGTTGACTCGGCCTCCTCCTCCTGCACCTCCTCCGATTCCGAGCCTCACATCTTCATGTTTTCCAGCGTGGAACCAGAACAGTGGGGTTGTGCACTTTGCATGTGTAGTAAAAGAGGTGTAGTATGTGGGGGGCAATTCGGACTTGAGGTCGTGAGCCCCTCTGGTCGTCGTCACAACCAATGCTCGAACATATGTCGCACCCCCCACTCGCAACTTGTTCGCAAAATTCTTCACGCTTCGCGTATCCCCAACAGTACGGCCCTCCACAGGAGGCGGTGAAGGGATCACAGAGGTGACTTCGACCGGTGTTGTTCCCCCCGTGGTCACTGAAGACCCTCCACAGGGAGCGGTGGAGGGATCACAGAGGTGACTCCGACCACACAGCATCGTCAGAGGTGCCGCCTCTTCCTTCTCTTTCGCTCTGCACCTCACGTGCTTCCCCCCGTCGATGCTGCCCTGGAGCAGGGACAGCGTTCCCCAGCAGTGGTCTGGCGCTGTGTTCCCCCCACGGTCGAGGTCCCACATCGCGTGGTGGAGAGATCACAGTTGCCAAGGTCTCGCAGTATATGCATTGGCGTCGCCCCTCCTCCTCCTCCTCCTCCTCCTCCTCCTCCATTTATTCACTGGATTGTGCGGCTATCGGCTGCGTCTCCTCCTCTCCCCCTCCTCCTCCTGTGGATTCGGCGACACACGATTTCCTCCCTACCAAGGCTCCTCTGGAGCACTCGGGCTCACTTGTCACCCGGAGGCTCCCTGGCGGAGCTCCGAGGTGCGGTCGGGCCGCGCTGCTGCCAGGTGTTGTTTCGGACAACTCGGGCCTGCTGCCAGCCCCGGCACCACCGGGGGCCGGACCTGGGGAGTGTGCGGACCCGACAAGTGGTACCCCCTTTGCTCGACTGCCGACGTTCCCCCTTCTGGTCCGCCCCTGCCCCCGGTCGGCGCTCGCCGCTTGGTTCCCCCGTCCATCGCGATGGATAAGCTGCCTGCGTTGTTCGCCGATGACTTGGTCCACCTCTCTCGGCGGGAGCCACCTTCGTGCTCCTGGTACTGCACAAGTGGTTCATCCTTTGGCAGTGCTCCAGCCCTCCTGCAGGGTGGTCCATGGCGCTCGGCCATGCCTGCTGCTGCGTCCCCCGTTCCTGGGTCAGGCAGTCACAGGTTTCGGACTCCGCGACTGGGTCGACGTCTCCGTGCATTGGTCGGTTGCTCTTGCCTGATCGCGCCCAGGAGTCCAAGTGAGTGAGGCGTTCTTCGGCTCCCCTCTTCTGCCCGCGCGTGCTCTCGCCTCCGCCGCCTTTCCCTTTTCCTCGCCCCCGCCTCAGTATGGTGCTTGCGTCCCCGTTCCTGGGTCGCTCGCATCTTCATGGGGGGCATTTTGCCTCTTGCGCGTGCATTTGCGTCGTCGGCCTACGTGCCGTCGTTGCCAATTATCTCGCCCTGCACCCCAGCCGAGCTCGTCTCGCTTCCTGGACTTTTCCTTGGAACCGTCAATCATACAAGTCTCCCCATCAGTTGCTTAGGTTTGGCCGTCGGTCCCCATGCGCTAGGTAATTCGGTTCGCGCGTAGCCCGCCCGACCTCCGCCTGGCCCCCTCGGGCCAGTCTCCCGTGCTCGAGGGGGCGCCCGACGCAGCGCCGCGCCCGGGCCCGCGCGCCCGCCGCGCCATTGCAGCGCCCCTCGGCGAGCCGCGCCTGCAGCGCCCCCTCGGCGAGCAGGCAGCGCCCCCTGGCGGGCACCGCGTCGGCCTCAGCCAGATGGAGGGCGGGGGGGCTGATCGATCTGGCAGCATCGAGGGGGGCGGGGGCCCGTCAGTGCAGGACTTGGGGGTTCAAGCGCTGACCCTGATCGATTTCCCCCAGGTTTCAGCCAGACCCGCATCCCTCCCGGACAGCCCTCTCCCCCAGCTCCTGCTGCACATCAGGATCCGAGCCCGCCGATCGCAATCGGACAGGATCTGACTGACGACAGCGGCCCCCGTAATTCCTGCGAGTTCTTGACGCTTCGCGTATCCCCACCAGCCCCGTAGCCTTTTGGCTCGAGGGGTTGCTGCCGCCCCCCCCTCTTCCGGGGGCGGATGGGCGCCTCCCCTTCGCGGCCGCGCCGCGCCGCCGCGGTGCTGGCCCTGGCGGCGGGCGCGTCTGTGGCGGCGCTGGCATTGGCGTTCGTCTTCGCGCCGCGGCGCAGGGTGACCCTGCCTGGGAGTGCAGCTGCCAGCACGGAGGCTTCGGATGGCGCGGAGACCCCCACAGCGGCCCCGGAACCCCCGGCCATCGGCCCCGATCAGGCAGCTCCAGGCAGCGGCGATGGGGCTGGCGACCATGCGCTCGACGAGGGGCTGCGGGCGCTGGGCATGCTGAGCGGCGCGTCTCTCAGCGTCGCCGCACTCGACAGGCCAGCCCGCGCCGGTGCGCCTGCGCTGCCCTACGACGAGGGGGTCGACGGCGCTGACGACTACGTGGTCGTGAATCGGGTCTCGCCAGAGGAGGAGGAGCGGCGATACTTGCGAACCTGAGCGGCGGCGCGGACCCCTTCGGTGGACCCCCGGCGCCAGCCGAGGAAGAGACGGTGCCGAGTGGCGTCAGGCCGCGGCGGCCTGTGGCGGCTTACGACTCGTGAGCCTCGGGAGCGGACCTCGGCCGGAGGAGGCGGGAACAAAAAAAAGACGACGGCCTTCAGCCGTGCTTTGGTCTTCGGACCCGTTTGCGGCATTCCGCCGCCCCTCCTGGTACACGCACTTCCTGCCTTTGGACCCAAGTACGTGTGCCAGCAGTGCCGGCCACGCCGCTTCCTCGTGTTGCGTGTGGCCATAGTGGCCCCGGGCCTCACTGTAGCTGTTTTCACTGCCAGGCCTGCCTGGCGCGCAGCCTTCGCGGTTGACGACCTGGCGGTTTCCGCCCCGCCCCCGGATCTGCGCTCTCTCCCTGGGACTTCCAAGTTACAACGTTGGATGGGCGGCCCATCGCCGCGGTTGCTACGCCAAGGGCGGAAGGCGCACCTGGCTGGCTGCCTCACTGACTGGGCCGACGGTCTCACCCGATCAGCTCCGATCACCGTTGACACGCGTCTACCTCGTGCTGCTCGGTTTCGAAGTATGAAGGTTCGGCCCTTCTCGATGCTCTCCCGCACATTCAGGTGTGCGCCACTCCCTGGGACTTTGTGACTGTGATGGATCTGCCGTCTTGGGTATACCACGGTTGCTGTCCTCCCGAGCGCACACGCGTGGTTGAGTTAGCCGCCTGGCGCTACGTCACATAGTTGTTCGGTACACGTCACTCTTGAGCCCTGCGTTCTCGCTGTGTTTATGTGTACCCCCTTGCGTCCTGACCAGTTTGCTGGTTCTCTGTACGCTGGCGCATCGCTCCGCTGTGGTTGGGTCCTCTCTGGCTACTCTGGCCTTGGTCCTTTGCGTGGATGCGTTTTCTGATGTTGCGACGGTTCGCTGGCGCCGTCAGAACGTTCCCAGGGTGGCCTTCCTGCACGGTGATAGTCCCTACCACGCTGTCATTCTTACTCGGACGTGACGGGGCGTACTGCGCGCCATTTTGGCTGCGCTTGGCTCGCCTCAGGGTTGACCTCACAGACCCCCTGGGTTGCAGCTTGCACGTTTGTCTCGGGTGACTGACCTTTCAGACTCCCTGGGATTGCACGACGCTGGCCCCTCAGACACCCTGGGTTGCCGCTCCCTGCCGCCTGAGCCGCGGCTCCGCGCGCGCTCGGGAATTTAGCCGCGGCCGCGGCCCGACCGTGACTGCTCGCCGCTGTGCGCTTCCGCCTGCGGCCGTAAAAAAAAGTAGTATCCCCACCAGCCCATCCAGAAACGATCAGCGGGGGAGTTGGTGAATCAGGGGCGGCAGAACGCATGCAGTCGCGCAGCCGTTTTGGAGAGCACAAGCGTCACGCATAGTTTCCCGCGTTGAGGTTTAAGATGGAAATCGGTGCACATCACGATGGTGCTTCGATGAGAGGTGAAAGGTGTTTCGATGACTCGTAATGTCAGAGGCCAGCAACATATGTACACGTACGCGGTTAGCTTCCCCTGGGGGGCATTTGAACGAGGACGTTCGTGCACTCAAGATCGCGGAGGGCGTACATGTACATATGTCGTTGCTCGCTCATAATGGCTGTTGCACTGATTTGTATATTAATCTCGCGTGCGTTCCGAAACTTGGGGGCATCTTGGGGCCCTCGTGGGGTTCTCTTGGGCCCCTCTTGGGGCCTCCTGGGGCTCTTTCTTGGGGCTCTCCTGGGGTCCTCTTAGGGCCTTTTTGGGGCGCTCTTGGGGTCCTCTTGGGGCCTTCTTGGGGCCCTTTTGGGTTTCTTTTGGAGGGTATTAGAGCTCTCTTGGGGCTCTTTTTTTCTTAGGGGGGGGGTTCTGGGGGGCCTCTCGGGGCCGTCTTGGTCCTTATGGCTAAAGAAAGGGGGGGGGGGGGGGGGGGGGGGGGGGGGGCAATTCTGGCCCCTCCTTCGGAAGGTTAAAAATGC